CTCTCTCTCTCTCTCTCTCTCTCTCTCTCTCTCTTTCTCCCAGTCAGACAGACAAAATCAACAACTTCTAAACTAGGATTTTGTTGTAAAGTGAGAAGAGCTGACAACAGAACCTCGATAAAAATACTTTCTAAAGATAATGAGATTAAACAAAGATTTTGAACAATTCTCAATAGCTGCTCCTTTCACTGCTCTAGAATTGACCGACAGAGCTCAAATCCTAAAGGGGTGTTTGTGAATTATTCTGAATGCTCTTCCTGATTTCAATCAAAGAAGGATATTGATTCAAAAGACCCGCCCTTCAAAGTACTGCTTAGTTTTACGAGGCAAAATTAAGCCCAAACGTGTTAAAGCTCAGCTGCGTTCTCAGTCTTAGTTGATCAGTTCAGCATTGGCGGTTTGTTAACCGGGGAATATCGGTGGCAGCGGTCCTTCTATGTGAGCTGGACAAAAGAGATTTATTGCTGATAATAAGTTTCATTTATTATTAAATGAATCGAAAATAATATTTATCAATGTTACAAAAAGCACTTTGCAAGTCTGAAGGCGCTCAGAGAGACAGTACGGCTGTAGTGCTGCGCCATTGCACTACACAGACTCTTTTCTTAATTTTTCTTTATCAACTCTGGCTTGCTTGCATGGAAACAGCATCCTATCATGATGCATAACCTCGTTAGGGCGAGGCTTTGGCTTTCTGAATAAGGCGAGACCCAAACCGCTCAGTGGTGTCGTCAGTCTCGCCGATGAATACAACACAACACTCTTAAAAAGACCACTTCTTAAGTGCCAATGTGGCTTATCTGTTGCATGTACACGAAGAATAGGACTGTCTTGAACAGCACAATAAATACAAGTATTATTTTTTTAGTAATATAACTTCTTTTAATTGTCTCTAATTACTGTCAGAACAAACATGTATTATTGTCAGCATGGCCCTAATCTTTGTTGTATATTGAATTTTAAGCCACGCATGGTTTCGTTAGTTGTTCCATTCATTACTTACTTCCCACTTTAACCTCCGGCACATAGCCAGACCGGCCATGACAAGGATCGCCAAGTCATAACATAGAGGGAAGGTTTTTGAGTAGAAAGGCACTAGTCTGGGCCGAAAGCAATAGCCATCCCCCAAGGCATTCCACACTCTCTAAAGCCAGACACAAAGTTCCATAATTAGCATTTGACACAGTCCCCATCTTCAAATAGTGTTCTGAAAAGTGCGATAAAGAACGTTTGATTATAAGACAATCTGAATTTATTGTGTGTTAACTTTGTTCAATGCGTGTGCGTTAAGTACAGTGTATTGTATCTTATTCTTGTTTTGATCTGCATGGGATAGTTCTTATTATCAACAGGGCGAGTGTACGTCGAGATTTTGTGTGGGTGTGTAGAAAATTTGAATTTTTGGGTTATGTACTGGGGATCAGGACTAAGAGTAGGTTGGTTACTTCTCACTTTTAGTTTCCTTTCCAGTATGGGAGTGTTTCTTTTTTTCCAAGCCGATCATTTCAGTTTCTATCCATCTCAATGACTTCAGTCAATGTCTGGAAACTCAGATTTATATTTAAATGTATATTACCGGGGCAGAGCGCTACTCACCTTAAGAGGTTCACAAGCTTTACTCACACGCCAATGTGTCAAGGTCGTTTGAATGGATTAGCCATTCCGTCTATCCAAAAAGACATAATTTGTCAATTTGAAACGTTCATCGAAAGAGTCGTCGACTTATTTACTCCAAACAGTAGAAGAGTGAAAACTAAGTGTATCCAAACCATGTTATTTTTTTATCGACTAGGCATTTTTGTAATATTATGCTTCAGAAGATTATAATATTTCGTCTCTTTCACATTATGTAAATGGAAATGTTTATACATGTAGTGGAAGGTGGCCGTATCCCACAAGTGCCCTACATGTCTTGTGTGTGCATGTGTGTTTTCTGTGCCTATTCCCAAAGGTAAATGTCACACCGTCTTACTCAGTGTACCGAACGTCACTGAGAGGTGTGCGCACCAGGGACCACAAGTCTACGCGTCCACCAAAATAAGATCGCTAGGCTAAAACAGCACCTGGACATGGATGGCTGGTGCCTCTATAAATACATCATTGACGGTCAAGGTAATAAGATCGCTTCCAGGCCAGGCTAATGTACCAAGTTTTTGCATGGTGTAGACGGTCAGAGTAGTGAAGAACAGACTCAAAAACGATCCACGTCCACCATGTCAGGTCAGCTAAACCTATTTTACGCCCATTGTATTTTGATTACGAGAACAACAGACAGCACAGGCACAGGCGATTTAATTATTTATTTATTTATATTTTCAGCATTGTTTCTAGTGTATAGATCTATAGAGACATGTGTATAGGTCTAGACAAGACTGCCTTTTTTAAAATTACCTGAAGGCTAGAGTCTATCCCTGGCATACATACGAGACGGATGAGGGATGGCCTAGGTATTCTAAGTCTAATCTAGCCTATTTTTAGCTCTCTTGAGAACGAATAATCTAGGTCAAGGGCTTTAATTCCGTTTTTTTTTGCTGTTTTTCAGCACAAATTTACTATTGTACAACATATTATAATGAGATACAACTTTGTTGATGATGTAAAATGCAACGAAGAAGCAAACATGTACTTCAAGATGCAAATGTCTTTCCAAAAGGCTATTGTTAGGGGATCGTACGCCCCAATAGTGCTTGGCGCTAGAGGACCATACGCCCCAATAGTGTTTGGCGCTAGGGGACCGTACGCCCTACCTGCACTAAGGCTAAGTGTTAAGGGACCGTACGCAGATGTGCATGCATCTGGACTTTGCAAAAATACTGGAGGAAAACGGCCAGTTTAACGAAGCTCCTGGCGTTAGGAG